TTCAATAAACTGAATGAATCACAATAGTGTTTTCAAATATATGCCAATGTGTACAGGTAAATTTCATAATTAGCGTTGCATGGTCTTCTGCGGCTACTGTATATATGCACATATAGGCCGAATAAACTCGCCGATAATGGCAAGAGAGGCTGGAATAATCGTTTCTGGCCTTTTGGTCATCACCAGCTGGCCATAACCAACCTCACGGGCCACAAGATCTGTTGCTTGGACCCGCGACCTGTCGGTTAGAAATCTAACGCCATCACCATTGAGCCACGAGTTCGTTGTTCTATTGATTTCTATCGGTGATATTACCTATGGTGGATGGGCGCTGACCAAAGGTTTGCGGGACTCACTTGCCCCACAATGCTTTCGCAGCTTGAGCTAGATCTAATAAACAAGAAGTGATCACTCCAGTCGCTTCCTGTTCTTTGTCAGCAGTTTCATTCTGAATGTAATACTAGTCGCTATGTAATCGCTTGTGAGGCTTTAGATCCAATCCCAGAAGTGACTGCCGTAACCGATGGTTGAGCACCCTTCCACCGTTGTTGCATTTGAATATATCTGCTTCGCTGATCTACTAGAGGAACAGTTAAAGTTCGATTTGCCCAAGAGCTCACTATTAGAGTTCGCGCAGGCTGTCATCTAGTGACTATGTTGATATGATGGAATGGATCCGACAAAGCAAAGGGAGACCGGAATGGCCATTGTTGGCTTGCTAGCCGTCATCAGCCAGTCATATCCCATATCAATGGTGGGAACCCCCAAGATTCGAACCCGGGACCTTTGAGTTTACCACTCTACCATTTCACCAACTGGCTCGTTGCTTTTTCGGTTGAGATCGGGAATATGATGAATATATGTGCTTCGCCGATCTAGTAGAGGAACAATCAAGTTCCGCTTTGCCCAGGAGCTCACAATTAAAGTCCACACAGGCGGTCACATAGTGAGTATGATGATATGCTATATGCATTTTTATTTTATTTTATTTAGAAATGTTGTTGACTTACATATGAATGTTTTCCTAATTTGTATTATCATTCAGCGTATTGCGGAAAAACCCGATTATCAAAATGCTGGTTTTTCGAAATTCCTGGAAAAATAAAAAAATGATGATTAGGAGGTCGTCTACTTCAACCCCCTGAGGTTCAACTTACCGTTCCGTTCTTCCTTTGCTTTTTCGGATCCATTTAATTGTTATATATGTATATCTGCTCGAGAGTAAATGCTTGGAACACAAACTCATCCACTGTTCCCTTTTCTTCCCTTCCTCTCCCTCACTTATCTGTCCGTGTGTCTCCCATCGCCCACCTGACGCTCTCGACCTGCGGCCATACAAACTCAGGAGGAGGTATGTTCTCAGCTCGCATAATATTATTTTCTTTCCCACGACAGCAGAATGTCTGCGAACTGTCTTCTTACAACTTACCAGGTCGGCGCCAATCTACGATAGTTGTTTGCTGTCGTAGACTTAGGTAGCGCTCTTCTGCAGTCTAGTTAAGGCCCCATTTGGTTGGGATTTTGCCGAAGCATTACAGCCTCTGTACTGTCGTTTGGGTATAGGCTTCCGCACACGAAACCCCCCTGCTTTCCTTGCGTGACCATTCTTATAACACCTCGTCCTCGTCTTCATCCACTTGCTTAATTCGCCGGTTGCCAGTTTGCACCTGGGCGTCGGCGTCTCAGTCGATACTTGACGCGCTCGAATTAGCTTGCCTCTCATTAGGGAACGGAGCCTCTTTCCCAAGAAGCCTCTTGTATCTACTTCTAGTTGTTGCCACTTACCAGGAAGTCAACTCCGTGCGTTGGAGCAGTCTAGATGAACATTGTTTGTGTTTACCGGATGTGATATGACTACACCCAGCACACTATCACCTCTCGGAAATTCTAAAACTTGTTTGCACGAACGGCTTACCGCAGTGGCTTAGGTTAATATGAAATACCCTTGCCGCTGCTATCTTCAAGTCCAGTTTCGCGCGGGAACAGGAGAGGGATGCCAGGTGGGAGGAATACTGTACTCTGTATACAGAGTTAATTGAGAGACTGTTGGACGAATGTGCGTGCGAAGCCGTGACGGCTGGCACCCAACGTGTGAGAGCGTGAAAGTCATGATAGCTTCTCCGGCAAGGTCATTTGTGATTCAGTCCCAGGGTGGTGATTGGCCAGACTGGATTTGGGTCGGCAAACAACGGTGCGCACGTGCTAACAGTCGCGAGAGGCAAGTTTGGCC